AGAAGAACCCGTCCAGAAGACCTATACTATTTTTTTATTTTGATTTTTTACCTGGATTACTGAGATGCATCAGGACATAATTTGTGTGTTTGTGTAATATCGGTTGTGACAGCCCTGCTGCTCCTACTGTTTATGGCAGACAGGTGCGTCCTGTTGTCATCTGCTTATGTTTCGTCCTCAGAGCCGGCTCGTAACTTCGGTAAATATCGGCCATAATAGCAATAATTATATCGGATTTCGATATCGGCTGAAAGTTTCATATCGGTGCATCCCTAATAAATTGATGTTTACAGGAAAAAGAACAACCCTCTAAACAAAACCATTTGTCCAGGACTCTGAAGAACAGTTTGTGTCATCAGTAGTAACAGTGTTTTCATGAGGAGGACATGAAGCGTCTGCAGCTAAAGAAAAGACACGGCTCTGTGTTTTTGTCAAGAGGACATTTTATTTCAGATGTCTTGTTGTCTTTGTTCAAATTACAGTAATATACTTGCTGAGATGACCCCCGGCTGCAGCCTGGACACCTAAAACTGACAGCTGGACTACTTGAAGCAAACTCTTTATCCTATTTTTTAAACTGTTTTGCAACAAAAAAAGAAAAATGAAAAGAAAAGAAAAGCACATTTGCCATCAGATGTGTGGTGACTGTTTGGATTAGAGTGCGGTCTAGAAAATAAAACAAAGGTAACAGAAAACCTTGCTCGTCATAAAAGGATCAGAGTATGGCACATTTGGTCCACGTCGGTAGTTTTATTATCTTTTTTTTTCAGACATGTAAGAAAGAAAAAGAAAACCTAGAACAGATGACAGTTTACGTGTCGTTTTCCCAGAAGCACAGCATTAATTAATGACAGCATATCGACAACACGACTGTAGAGAGGACGCTGCTTAGTTTCATTAAATCTTAAATTCAGCCAATCGTTTGTCTCCCCGGGACAGAAACATCATCATCAATATTAATAACTGCTCTCCGTCCAAAATGAGAAGGAAGAGGGCGGTGATGTGAGGGAGGGGGCGGAGCTTGGTGGGTGACTGACAGGGACGGGGCGGGACATTCACAGGAAGTAGTCAGGAGTGCGTCTGGTCACGTGAGGCTCACCGCGGCGAGGGGCGGGGTCAAACTGCAGGCTGCGGAGGGAGAAACGTTCGTTAGTGACAACTTCCTGTTTGAGAGACATCACAATAAAAGCTGCAGGAATGACAAATATTTATCAGAAATATCAAAATAAAAGCCTCAGAAATGAAGTCAGAGTTTCAGTCAGAACTAAAAATAAAACCTTTTTAAATGAGACTGTTAAACCCAATGGACCCGGTTTGATCAGAACCGGTCCCGGTCACTTACAAAGAGTACTTCAGAGTGTCGTCCAGCTCCATGATGGCCGCCTGGTTGCCACAGCGGTAGCAGTAGTTCGGAGCGCTGAAGATGGTCACCACGTTCTTGTCGTGGCCCCAGTTGTAGCCCTGAGAAACACAGACCAGGGGTCTCATTTATAAAGGATTGCGTGGAAACCATACTAAAAGTGAACGTACGGCCAAAAGGCGGAAATGGCGTACGCCAAAAAAAATTCAGATTTATAAAACCGTACGTACGCACGTTTCTGCGCATCTTTCCTTTATAAATCACAGCCTCACGTCAGAATTTGCGCACGAGGTCCCGCCTCAGGTTCTACCCTCTACACGCCCACATTCAACATTCATGAGGTACTTTACAT